AGTTTAGAACAAACATGGAAGGCACCTCCATGCACATCTGTTAAATGCATCTTTGTGTGTGTGTAAATATTCATACACACACACACACACACACACACACACACACACACACCACATACTCAGGCAAAAGGATAAAAGAAACCCATAGACCAAAACCTAGGCTTGGTACATGTCTGTAATCCCAGTACTAAAAAGGTGGAGGCCTCAAGATCTGGGTTCAGAGGGATATTTACTTGCCCAGTTGCTTTTGTTTTTTCAAAACAGGGTTTCTGTGTGTCGCTTTAGAGCCTGTCCTTGAACTTGTCCTGTAGACCAGGCTAGCCTCAAACTCACAGAGACTCCCCCTGTCTCTGCCTTCCAAATTCTAGTATTAAAGGCATGCACCACTACTGCCTGTTGTGCCCAGTTGTTTTTAACAAACCTTTCCATTTCACGACTGACAAGCTGACATCTCTGTCATCCCAAGCACATATGCATGTTTACACACATATCAAGAGTAGACACACACACACACACACACACACACACACACACACACACACACACACACACACACACACACACACACACACACACACACACAAACACATGATGCACAAATATCATTCAGACATGAATACATACATAAGAATAAAAATATTGAGCTGGGTGTGGTGGACAAATAGAAACTGTATCTTGAAAACAAAGAAAAATAAAAATATTGATCTGTTATGTAATCCTTCATCACATCTTACCATGTAACACTTATGGAATTGAAAATATTCTGCCATTTTGCCAAGTGGTACAATGACAAATTAGCTAAAAGTAATTCCAAAGCAGGGCAGTTAGAAATGTTTGACTATTTTCCATTCCTTTCCTTTCAGTCATTTCAGAAATAATACAGGCTAATGCTGTTTCAAAGTATTTGAAACTATCCATGATGTCATTCCAGTATTTCTTAAGTTAACTAATATGACTCATGCAAATAATTTCATTTGCTTCAAACAGTGGACCAAAGAGAAGAGCCTGCCTGGCAGCCTCTGGGTTAATAGGGAATCATGAAAACCAGCATTTTGAGACCTTTGATATGGTAGATTTATAATGGCTATAAATATTTGTTAAATGTACCTTTCTTCCCAGCACAGACTCACTTGGTAGTTCACATAAGAAATAAAGTATGGCCGGGTGTTGGTGGTGCATGCCTTTAATCCCAGCACTTGGGAGGCAGAGGCAGAAGGATCTCTGTGAGTTCGAGACCAGCCTGGTCTACAAGAGCTAGTTCCAGGACAGCCTCCAAAGCCACAGAGAAACCCTGTCTCGAAAAACCAATAAAATAAAATAAAATAAAATAAAATAAAGCATGAATTGTTCTATAGTGAACTCCATTCTGCTAGTCTTTGCACATCATTTAGAACTTACTGCTGATGAACAAAAAGTGCCTTCCCCCTTGTTTATATGTTTTGATGATTACTAATGTGTCCTAAACATTTAGAATGGTATATGATGCATTAAAAATAAAATTTTGAACAAACAAATTAACTTAATTTTTCCCCCTGAAACAAGGTCTGTGTTGCTTTGACCAGCCTCAATCTCGTGTAGTCCAGGCTAGCCTCAAACCTCCTAATCAATAACAATTTTTTAACAATTTATTTATTTGTGTATTTGTGGATGTAACTATGCATGTGCACATTTGCCTGGTGTGTTCATTTGTGCACACTCATGCAAAGAGCAGAGAGAAGCCATTAGTTGTAGTACCTAGTCACACTCCACCACTCCTCTCAGGGAAGAAAGATAAGAACCAGCCAAGTCATCAGGAAGAGCAAATAAAAAGACAACCTCATAAGAACTAGGGGTCATTTACTTGTAGAGTCACATTTAAGCACATCTGTTGAGGACAGTATCCCTGTCCCTTCCCAGACACAGCGGGCTGTAGGGACAGCCTTCTGTTGTTTGGCAGATTTTGAGGTCAAATCAAATCTGTACTAGGTAATCAGCTTAGTGGAGAATAAACCCAGAACTCCCATGTGCCTGCTGTCGGCAGTCCTGATGCATGGGGTTGACTCCATCTCCACATTTGTCTGGTAAGTTATATACAGTGGATAAAATGGAAATAACCACATGAGTAGTCTTTAAAATGATGTTGCATTCACTATAAAAGTCATTCCCAGGCCTAAGTTTTTGTTTGAATACAGAATTTCATATATGAAAAAGAGTATGCTATTCACAATGACTTCTGAGATTATCAAGTCTAACCCAGATAATCCCCATCTACAGATTGCTGCTCTGTGCCCTGTGGAAGGGGATTTGGAATTTTGTTTTCATTTGAAAATAAATCAGCTAAAGTTGAAAAGTAGACAAGAAAAGTCAGGAAGCACTTTCATCACAAGAGCTGTTAAATCTAAACATTAGTAAGCCACATTTCACATCCAAATACATGCAAGAAAAGTTACAGAAGACAGGAAAAAATATTTATCTCTGTATGGAATGTGGCTTCATAATTCCAGCATGCTAACAGAATTCCAAAATTGATTTCCGACTTTTACTGAGTAACTGATAAGAGGGCAGTGCTGGAGAGCACTTCAGACACTGGCTGCTCTTCCAGAGGACCTGGCTTCAATTCCCAGCACCCACTCACGACCATCTGTAAGTCCAATTCCAAGATATCCAATCTGCCTTCTGACCTCTGTAGATACTAGATACAAGTGGTGCAGACATGCTTGCAAGCAATCACCCATACATATAAAAATAAACAAATCATTAAAATTCATTGATGGGGCTGGGGAGGTGGCTCAGTAGGTAGAAGTTTGCCTCACAAGCTTCAACACCAGAATTTGAATCTCCAGAACCCACAAACTGACAAGCCAGACTAGCTAAAACAGCAATCTCTGGCTTCATCATGAGACCCTGCCCAGTATGTAGGGTAGAAAGTGATCAAGAAAGACACACAACATCCTCCAAATACACACACACACACACACACACACACACACACACACACCATTGGCTCAGATTGTAAGCAGCAAGCAACTGGTGAGATAAAGTACAAAATTGTAAAATCACTGTTACTTACAGGCAAACAGTTTCTGAGTTTTGATGAAAATGTGAATGTGGAAGGACCTGGTTAGCTTTTCAATAAGGCGGCTGCTTAACCTGAGGTTCATGCCACTATCGATCCCAGCCTTCATCTTTAGTGGCTGAACTAAAGCGGTTACTAAAATAAAACATCACTAGATGATGGATGCTAACAAGCACATCTATAGAGAGACAGGCAGCATGTGACCCCTGCTTTCCTCGGACTTCAGGTCACATCACTATCCCATATTCTGCTTCCTGCACCATTTTATGAGCACCCAGACATTTCTTTAGGTAATAATTTCATTCACTTTTATGGTTTTTTTTTTTTTTTTTTTGGTTTTTCGAGACAGGGTTTCTTTTTGTGGCTTCACTCTGGAGACCAGGCTGGCCTCGAACTCACAGAGATCCTCCTGCCTCTGCCTCCCACATGCTGGGATTAAAGGCATGCGCCACCACCACTCAGCCAAAAATCTCCAGTTTTACGTCAACTTCCAACTCTTCCGCTCAAGCCAACCAGCCCTTTACCTAAGTCTTCTAGTGGGTAGACAGAAGGGAGGGTGAGGGGGGAAGAGAAATGGGAATGAACACATTTTCTTCCAGGCACATAATATTACCCCCTTGCCAAATTATTAACTCACCATAAAACAGTGTGTAAAACGCTTCAGTATATAAAACTGATCAATGCTCTGGAGTTTGCCCCTCCCTCCATAATCAGTCTACACATGGGAAAGTCATTTGTAGGGCACTAAGATGAATCCACCTAGCAAGGGTGTCTGGAGCCCTTGAGTTTATGAAACCACAAAAACTTATTCTTTTTTACTCAGCAGTGGGGCATTTTTACAGGAATTAGTGTGACTTTTTTAATTTTTTAAATTTATTTTTTATTTTATGTGCACTGGTGTTCTGCCTTCATATATGTCTAGGTGAGGATGTCAGGTCCCCTAGAAATGTATACAGACAGCTGCGCGTGCTATACTATGAGGGTGCTGGGAATATGAACCCAGGTCCTCTGGAAGAGCAGTCAGTGCTCTTAACCTGAGCCATCTGTCCAGTCCCAAAGTGTGACTTCTTAAAGCCCATTATGCTCACCTTTGTATGTGGACAGAGCCCTCCCAGGGCATAAAGTGGTAAATCTGCATACACATTAACCTGTATTTCTATCATATTAGACTGTTGAAAATCATTGATCTGGCTGTTATATCTTAATAGACTACACCAAACCCTAGTAATTCCATAGGATCCACTTTATCATGAATCAATGCACAAATACTTTTCTGAAACTCCAGCCATTCTGGGGACCCTGAGTGCCTCTGCTCCAGCAAGACTGAAGCACCTCACCAGGCAGTTGTAGTGCATGCCTTTAATCCCAGCACCCAGGAGGCAGCAGGGGCAGGCAGAAATCTGGGAGTTCAAGGCCAGCCTGGTCTACATAATGAGTTTCAGGACAGCCAAAGCTACACAGAGAAACCCTGTCTCAAAACAACAAAAAGTTGAGGAACCTCAACTGGGGAATCACCAAAAAAAATCATTATGTAACTGTTGAGAAATCTTTCACCTGCATTTTTGAATTGTGTGTGTGCACACAAACATAATATGTATATTGCATTAGGTCTAGACATTTTGCAGGGTTGCAGAGATGTCTCTATTGGTAAAAGTGCTTACCATGCAATCATAAAGACTCAAGTTTGAGTCTTCCAGCACACACATAAAAGAGTTTGGCATAGGCTGGCAAAATGGTTCAGAGAGTAGAGGCACCTGCTGCTGAGTCTGATCACCTGAGTTCAATCCCCAAGACTGACATAAAGGAGAGAACCAACTCCTAAAAGTTGTCCTCTGACCCCCATACACGCAAAGAAAACTGGGCATGGTGGTGCATGATGTAATCCCAGTACTAAGACAGTAGAGATAGGAGGGTCCCTGGGGCATACAGCCATTCTTTACAAACTGATGAGCTTCAAGTTCAGTGAGAAACCCTGCCTTAAAATGTAAAGTGAGCCTTTTGCCCTCTTTGGCCAGCTGAAGGCAAGATGGGTCACCAGCAGCTCTATTGGGGTCACCCGAGGAAGTTCAACCAGGGATCTCACTCTTGCTGCGTCTCCTCTAACTGCCATGGTCTGGTCTGGAAATATGACTGAATATGTGCCATCAGTGATTCCATCAGTACTCGAAGGACATAGGCTTCATTGAGTTGGACTAATCAACATTGAATGGATTATTCAAGACTGTCTACCCACTGAAACAGATCATACTAGTCTTTGTACATAAAGAATAAAAAAAAAAATGGAGACCTTCCAAAAAAAAGTAAGGTGAAGACTGATTGAGGAAGGCACCCAACACGGAATCTGGCCTCAATATGTGCCAGTATGCACACATGCATATGGATCCACACACAAACAAATGTACATTATTTTTTTGCATTTAATATCATTTAACTTGAGATGCATTCCACTGTGAGACTCAGCTTTCTTGCTTAACTTCATATACAAGGTTGAATGGTGTCTCCTCCAAATATATCTATCTGTAACCACAGAATGTGACTTTATGCAATAGGGACTTTGTGGATGTAATCAGTCAATGTGATTGATAGAGTTTTCTCTAAAACCAGTGAGTAGTGTCTTTCCAAGAAGAGGGGAGGGCACATAAAAACACAGGAGACACAGACAGCCATGTGACAAGGGAAGCAGAGGTTGAAGTGATGAGTCTAGAGGCTAGGGAACCCCAAGGACAGCTGTCAAATGCCAAAACCTAGGAACAAGTAAGGACACCTCCTACCCAGAGCCTTGAAGGAAGCATGGCCCTGCCATGACTGGATTCCCAACTCTCAGCCTCTTAAACTGTGAGAGAAGATGCCTTTCTGTTGTGCAAATTCCTAAAGGTGATATGTTATAATAGCCCAAAGAAATTAAGGCACACACCCTGCAAAGTGTGTACACATAGGAGTGTTCACACACTGTGTGCATACAGGTAGGACTGGTTTTCATTCTTTTCCCCTTATTCATAGGGGAAGAAAGAAGGAGGATCTCCCACACTACCAAGAACATACTGTGCTCTATGCCACAATAAAGGCCAGCTGGTGGAATGTCAGCACCCATTAACAGAAGAGGATCTGGCAACAGGCTAAGTTGGGCCTGATCACAGAACCCATGAACCTCAGGGGTAGCATCCTTATTTAGACTCTAAGTTACGCCCCCATGTCTACAATGAATGTGTTTACCTTCACTATCCACCAACAAACGCTTACCCAGTTAGTTTGTGGGTAAAAGATCAGGGTAGAAAATGAGGCACCCCTGTTGTGGAATATCACTTTAACTATGTAAGGGTGTGTTACATTTGTTTATGCTGCATTTGTTTAATGATGTAAAGGTGTGTTACTTGTTTAATTATGTAAAGATGTGTTTTACCTTGTCTGCCTAAGGCACCTGATTGGTCTAGTAAAAAGCTAAACGCGCAACAGCTAGACAGTAGATGGATAGGCTGGACTGGCAGGCAGAAAGTATAAGAGGAGGGATCTAGGCTCAAGAGAAGAAGAGAGAAGAGAACGAGGAAGAAAGAGAGGGAGATGCTTGAGACCAGCCAGGCACCAACCAGCTAACCAGAAACGGAGTAGAAAAGAAAGTAAAAGCCCTGAGGCAAATGTAGATGAAGAGAAACAGGTATAACAGCAAGAAACAAGCACTCTTAACTAATAATAAGTCTCGATGTCATGATTTGGGAGCTGGTTGATGGCACACATACACACACACAGCCTGCTACATGCTTCAGAGCATCTTTCATAGGATGCATACATTTTCTAAGAGTTGGAGTAGATTCTATCTCCAAAACACAGGGGTATCATGCTGAACAGGACTGATAATGGAGTCAAGAGACTGCTGCTGTCAGATGTGATGGTACAGGCTTTAATCCCACCACTCTGAAAGTAGAAGCAGAGACATGTGAGTTCAAGGCCAGTTTGGTCTATATTATGAGTTCCAGACAAGATATAGTCTTTTTTGTTTGTTTGTTTTGGAAACAGGGTTTCTCTGTGTAGCTCTGGCTGTCTTTGAACTTGCTTTGTGTTGGAATTAAAATCCATCTTTGAAAAGGAAAAAACAAAAGCAAAAAGCTGCTGCTGAAGGAGCAGACAAATGGATGGATGTCTGAGCTAAGCAGGAGGCAGTGCATCTGAGGAGATTCATAATTGCCAGTGACAAAGAAAAGACACAACAGCTCCAGAGTATAGGTACCATGAATGATCAAGGCCAAGAAGGACTTCATCTGGCAGCAGTGGTTCAGCATCCCATCAAGTGACAGATTTTCGCTATTTGAACCATCTATTACAAATCAGTCACTTAAGAGTCAGGAAAGTGATCAAATTAGGATCTAAAGATGATGCCTGAAGGGTGGTCTCTGATGTCAGTCACTCAGCGAATAAATCTTCACATAGCCCCAATCCTCATGTAGCGACACTGAATTCTTGAGGGTCTACTGCAATCACACCATTTCAGCATTTACAAATCATTTGCAGTGCCATGGCAACAGAAACTGTACAGCAGCTCCCACAGGAGATTCTGAAGCCTGAGTCAGGGACCCAAAGGAAATGGAGTTGCTGCAGCATTTGGAGGGCACCCCACTCATCTAAGGAACTAAAATCAAGATGTAAAATACAAAGGCTTGATAAGATATTGACATAGTGAGAATTTCCCCTTCTGCAGTCTAGAAGAACAAACAAAACAGAACATGCTGTGTGTCTGGTCTTTATTTTGACCAACAGCAGATTGACTGGTTGCAAGAAAGAAAAAATGGCATTGTTTTGAGAACCAGCAGGCATTGTATAGAATTGCTGTGCCCAAACAACTGGATGATACCCCCTGGACTCAAGGGAGCAACTTTCAAGATGTGTAGAGAAAAGAGACATGTGGGGCTGGCTATATAACACAGTTGTTAGTGTTTGTCTAGTTGTGAAATCCTGTGTTAGCCCTCTAGCATTGCATAGAGTACGGTGGCTGGATTGCATAAATCCAGTACGGTGGCATATTACACATATCCATAATTCCCAAACTCAGGAGGTAGAGGCAAGAGGATTAGAAGTTTAAATCATCCTTGCCTACATAGTGAGTTTGAAGCTAGCTGGGATACATGAGACCCTATCTATAAAATTATATGTATATATTTATATATACGTGTATTTGTGTATATATGGAAGCATTTTTATATTAATAAATTTCATTTAAATGAACCTTTTCTACAAAAATCTGAAAATGTTGCTAACGGGAATAGATGTCATCAACAGAAGGAATGGGTCCAGGAAGTTCAGAGAGGTTATGACAAGGCTCTGCATGCCTGGGCCAGCCCCAGCCTTGGGGCCACCAAAGAGCAAAATAAACACGAAGCTCCCTGCTTGAAAATGCTATACTTCCCAGATCCTCTGGGCTCCTGAGTCTGGGTAGCTTGAGACTTTTGTCCTATAGCCACTGCTGCCACCTTCATGATCTCCCCATCACTTGCTGGCCTTGAGTTTGCACCTCTGTATCCTGCCAACCTGTGGCTCTTTGAGGCCATGGCTCCTGCTGTTGTCACTGATGCTGGTCTCAGGGCTTACAGAGAGTTTGCCAAGACAGTTGAACATGGTGTTTCATAGGGTAGCAGCAGAGCTGTCTGTCAGGCCAAGAAAGAACAATGGCTCCTATGATCACACTTGCCAGTATTCCTACAATTGTACTGTACCAGTCAAGGCAGTACATTAACAATGCCTTTCCTGGGCACACATGAGGCTTATTTAATCATGCTTGGCAAAGGCCTGTAGCATCCCCCACCCCATGTGTCCAAAGGAGTAGCCCTTTGCTTCCCTCCCTTGTGGACTCTATCTGGTCTCTGGATTTCCTACTCCGTCCTTTGTGCTGGCCTAGTCCAGGCAATAGCATACCGGCAGCATCTCTGGTTTTCAGCTAGGACATTCCTGATATCCAGCCTTGCAAGTTGGATTTAGGGCCCAGGAAAACAGCCCATCCAACCCTGGCTTCTCGGGGACCACCACTGCCCACTCAGGGCTCACTGTCTGGAGCTTTGTTCTTGTAGGAGAAAAAAGAAAACGAGAATGTTCATTTCTTGGGTTGGAGACATAGCTCAGTGGTAGAGCACTTGCCTCGAAGAAGCCTGGTCCTGAGTTCACTCCATATTACACACACAAAGAGAAAAAATTCACTCATTTCTTTCTTTTTTAAAGAAAAGAAAAAAAAAACAGGGTCTCTTTCACTGAACCTAGGTCTGGCTGAATGGATAGACTGGCTGATCAGCAAACCCAGGGATCTTCCTGTCACTACCTCTCCAACTCTTGCTAACTTCCTGGTACACCCCCCTCCATGAAGGTGAATGTGCAGATGTATGTGTACATGTGTATAGCATAAAGGAGGACACTTCTGTTCACCTTATTGCCTCGAGAAACAATCCTGAGTGAGCCAGAAGTTCACCATTTCAGCTAGGTTGGCTGACCAGGGAGCCACTGGGATCTACCTGTCTCAGCCCTTCAATACTGATTTTACCAGTATGCAGAGCTGTGCCAGGTATTTTACACAAATTCCAGGGATTTGAACTTAGGTCCTCATGCTTACAAAGCAAACACTTGCCCACTGAGCTATATCCCTAGCCCTACTCAGTCAGCGTTTTACAAAACAAGAGAGATAATTACAGATTAAATTTTAAGATATTTCCACAAATATACTATTTTAATATATCATTTTAGACTTTGCGTTTTCCTTTTGTTGTCATTATTGGGTGGGTTTTTGTTTTTTGTTTTGTTTTGTGAGACATTGAATAACCCTAGCTTGGAAATACTCCCACTTCTTGCCCTTGGAACTTCTAATGAGCACTAGGGTATTAAAGAAGTCCACATAGAATTTAGAAGCAGCATTCCTGAGGTGGCTTTGACAGCATTACCTCCTACTTCCTATGACTTGAACTTATCGCTTAATCTCTTTGAGCTCAATTTCTTCATGTATAAAATTTAAATTAAGGTAATAATAACATCTGCCAGGCCTCTTATACATATGGAATCATATGCTTATGCACATGGGCTAATGGGTCCAATAAGCTGAGATGGGGAATTACCCCTCTTCATGCTGACATTTCAATGAACATCTGTAATCCTAGAGCTCAAATGCTGAGCTGGCAAGACCATGAGTTTCAAGCCAGTCTGGGCTGTATAGTGAGACTGTCTCAGAAGAAGGAGGTCAGTACCTGACATGACAGCTCATTGGTGTTTCCTGAGCCAGCATGAAGACCTGAATTAGGAACTCCATGCTAACACAGAAGCCGACATAGTAGCATACATCTGTAACCCCAGCACTGGAGCGGTGCAGACAGGAAGATCCTACAGGTTCAGTGAAATAACCTCCCAAAAAATAAGGTAGAAAGTGAAAGAAGACACTAGACATCAACCTCTGACCTCTCTCTCTCTCTCTCTCTCTCTCTCTCTCTCTCTCTCTCTCTCTCTCTCTTTTTTTTTTTTCTTCGAGAGAGGGTTTCTCTGTCTCTTGACACACACTATGATGGCCTACATTTGTAATCTTAACATTTGACACATGAAGTAGGAGGATCAGAAGTTCAAAATGTAGCCTTGATACATGAAACTTGTCTCAAAAACAAGCCAAAAAAAAAAAAAAAACAGGAAAGAATTTGGAGCTGGAGAGATGGCTCATCAGTAAAGAGGACTAGCTGCTCTTCCAGATGACCCAGGCTCAGTTCTCAGCCTACACCTGGCAACTCACACCCATCTGTAGCTCCAGTTCTATAGGACCTGACATCCTCTGGCCTCTGGGACCACTGCATGTACAGACATACATGCAGACAAAAACTCCAATACATAAACTAAAAATAGATAAAATCTCAAGGGGAGACAGAAGAGAATTGTCCCCTTTAATTCACAGGTCAATGCTGGGCTATCTATTTATATAAGGTCGCTTGGGATAAAGGGGATGAACTTGAGAAACCCTATGTATCTGTACCCTCCTTCACAGTAGCTGATCTTTTATGGTCCTTAATACTAAATGTCCATCTTCTGAAGAATCTCTTGCCAATGGGTCCTGACTTGCTTTAGAACTAACCTTAGGCTCTTAGCAACAAACCCTGCATTTTTCCTAAAAAGAAACTGTCAGAAAAAGTATCCTTCCTTTTTAGCTGATAGTCCCTGATGGGGTTCTTTCTTCCTTTCAGGATATTTCGATGGCAATGAAAAAGAAAAAGAAAAAAAAAACAAGTGCAAAACAAATGTTGGTTTACAATCTCAGGTCTTAATTTGACAATCAAATCCAGTTGTAAATGTTTCATCCAGACAAAATGTAGACACAAGTGTCATTATGGGTTTTGTAGAATTTATCTTGGGATGAGTCTCACCCAGACCTATTGCCTTCATTTCTTTTCATTCTTTAACTTGACAGAAGCTTCTCTATGTGCTCAGCACTGGAGTTGGATCCAGTCTTGACAGTGGAAGCTTTTGGAGTCCAGGTGAACCCCATATTATAGCGGTAAGCTTGGGGCCAGACAGGAAGGCCCTCAGAGAATGACACTGGAATTGAATTGTGAAGGGAAAGTAAGAGCTAAAGGGCCTTCTGGAACTGCTTCTTTTTCCTCCAGCCTCCTCCTTCTCCTTTGTTTGTTTGTTTTTTTTAAGATTTATTTATTATGTATACAACATTCTGTCTGCATGTATCCCTGCATGCCTGAAGAGGGCAAAGGATCTCATTATAGATGGTTGTGAGCCATCATGTGGTTGCTGGGAATTGAACTCAGGACCTCTGGAAGAGCAGTCAGTTCTCTTAACCTCTGAGCCATCTCTCCAGCCCTGTTTTTTTTTGTTTTTGTTTTTGTTTTTGTTTTTGTTTTTGAGACAGTTTCTCATGTAGTCCAGGTTCCCCTCCATCTTGCTCTGTAATCGATTATATTAGTTACTTTTCTTAAAGGAATAGAGATGCTATTTTGGTTTACAGTTCCAGAGGGATAACGTTCATGATGGTGGTGTAGAGGTATGACATCAAGTGGCAGGAACTGCAGCAGGACCAGGAAGCTAGGAGCTCACATATTGAACCACAAGCAAGAAGCAGAGAGAGTGAACCAGAAGTGGTGGCAGGTTTTTACTATCAAAGTCCAACCCTAGCAGCATAGGAACCCAGTATTCAAAAGCCTGAAACTATGGGGAAATATCTGTCATTCAAACTTCCACACCAAGCAGGACCTTTGAAATCCTGAACCCCCTACCTCTACTTCCCAGATGTTGGGATTACAATGATGCACATCTTTATGCCCAGCAACCTTTTTTCTTTTTTCTATTCTTTCTTCTTTTCTTCATCACTTCTTTTTCTTTTGCAACTGGGCTTGTGCAGTACAGGCTATTATTGAATTAGAGACCTTCCATGTCCTGGAATTACAGGCCACAATGCCTGATTTATCCAATGCTGGCTCTCAAACTTGTGGATTTGTGTACGCTAAGTAAGCAAGCACTCCACCAATTGAGACACATCCTCAGGCCTCAACATTCTCAACCTTGTAGCAAGCATACCACAGGTCTGGCTGCACCCACGAGCCTTCCACCCTCTGTGAAGAGCTCCTCTGCCAATTCTCCCCTCCCAGATGACACTTTAGCACATCCCACTCACTCCCAGTGGCTTTCAGGTGTTGAGCCACAGCTCTCACTTTAGGTAATAAAGAACATGGTTCAAGGTAAATCACAACTCCATGCCAATTTGAAGCTTCCCCTAAGAAGAGCTGGAGGAGTTGAGGTCCATCTTCTCTGTCCTCCATATCCCATCCTCATCCCCACTGGTTAGCTATCACCTGCAGCACCTCCCATCTGGATCAGGGAAGAGGAGGGGTCAGTAAAAGAGCAAAGGTATGATGGTACAAACCGACCTGTAGTCTCAGCAAGCAAGAGGCAGAGGCGGGAGAATTTCAAGTCCTGAGCCAGGCTAGCCAATGTAGCAAGGCCCTGTCTCAAAACCCAAACTGAAACAAGCTAACAACAACAACAACAACAAATGGACATCCTTACTTAGCTTCTTGCATTCACACTGTTGTTACTGCCCTCTATGGTGGCAGATTTGTAACTGCTGTCTCCCTTGGTACACAGTGAAACTAGCATGAAGGGTAAGGGCCCAGCCACCCCTCCAAAGCTGACTTCCCCTGACATCACACAGGCCCTGATGCAGGCTGACCTCACTTAGTACCTCTGACTCCTGTGTCACCAGCATGCTCCTCTAGGAATAGCATCCAGACGACTCTGACTTACCTCAGAGCTTTCCCAAGTTTGTCCGCAGCAGCTCTGTTAGGGAACTCTTCAGACCAGCATGAGGATGGGCTGCCAGTCTCCCCTCTGGCAAGCACCCCACTCCCTTGGGTTGAAGGCACTGGCAATGCTGCCTCCCTCAGCTTGGGGAGGGAAGAGGTACCACAGCGCCACCATCTCCTGGTCCACAGCCCTTCCCTTCCCTGCAGGAGTTAGTAGCAAGGCAGCCGGCACAACCGGTTTGTTTCACTCAGCCACTGCTGGTGTGATTGTCCCATTCCTTTCTCTAGTAGGGGAGACTAGAGTCACCAGTCTTTCTTCAGAGACAGGAGTTAAATAAAACAAGACTGCTTGAACCAACTGCTCAGGATCATGTAACAGGACCTGTGACAGAAAGGGGCTTTGCCTTGTTGTCACCTTAATGCAGAGATTCGTCATTGGTCATAGTGACAAGAACAAGCACCTGTGAGCTCTTGGTCCTAAACAAGACATGACATGATGCCACCTCTCCAAGGCTCAGGGAGTCTCTGAAGAGGAGCCAGGAAGTATGTAAGAACTGGAGGGTGGGAAGAAGTCTCAGAGAACACAATCTTCAGAAGGTTACACCCATGACCTCATAGCCACTGGACACAGGAAAGCAACCAGAAGCAGAGGGCTGACATCGGCTCTACTGACTGTGTGATCACCAGCCCCCAATTCTGTTTTAAGCATTAAGGAAGTAAAAGAGCCAGATAGGAGGGATGAACAAGAGACCTGTCCTACAGGTACAGCTGGTCTGTAAGGGCTGTCTGGTAGTGACCAAAAGCCTTTGTGCCAAGAATCCAGAAGGCAGGGCCTTCAAGGAGTGCCTGTGGCAAGGCAGGGCCTATGTACAGACAGAAGGATAAGCACAAGTTCCAGGCCAGCCCAATCTTCATAGCAGACCCTGTGTCAAAATATATATATATTAAAAGAAGACCTTTTTGAGACAGGGTTTTACTGTGTAACAGCCATGGCTGTCCTGGAACTAGTTCTGTAGATCAGGCTGGCCTTGAACTCACAGAGCTCCACCTGCCTCTGCCTCTGCCTCTGCCTCTGCCTCTGGAGTGCTGGGATTAAGGTGTTCGCTACCACCACTCACCTCAAAGAAGTCATTTAAAAATAGTTCATTTAATCATTTTGCTTTATGTCCATGTATGCTCACTGTGTGTGCACAAGTGCTTATAGAAGCCCAAGGAGGGCATCAGATTCTCTGGAACTTGTGTTACAGACAGCTGTGACTTCAAGTGTGAGTTCTGGAAAGCTAACCCAGTTCTCTGTGAAAACAGCACAGTCATCTTGCCCATCCCCAGAAAAGAAAATTTACATTACTGCTTTGCAGATGAAGTACGACTCTTTTGTTTTGTTGTTTTTTGTTTGTTTTTTGTTTTTTGAGACAGGGTTCCTCTGTAACTTTGGAGCCTGTCAAGGAACTTGCCCTGTAGATCAGGCTGGCCTCGAACTCACAGAGATCCACCTGCCTCTGCCTGCCAAGTGCTGGGATTAAAGGCCTGCACCACCACTGCCTGGTGAAATAAGACTCTTTTAAAAGAAAATTAATCTGAAATGAATTTTGGGTTTTTGGAGGCTTGTTTGTTTTTGAGACAGAGTCTCACTATACCTTTCCTGTCCTTTTGTGTCTGTGCTATACTGCATTTAATTGGGGCTGCCTGCATGAGCATGAGTGTGGGGTTATTTACTTGATCAAGGATAACTTACCAGTGATTACACCATTGAGGACTATGACTCCCTCCTCCCCAGCAACCATTATTAACTATCTACAGTTCCTCGGGGCGGGGTGGATTCCACCCCACCTATGATGAAATATTTGTGGCCTGCATAATGTTATGTGCTGGTAACTGCAGTTGCTATGGTGTCATTGGGCATCAGCCATGTCACCCTCAGAAGAGAATGGTCTTGAGACTTCTTCACACCCTCCAGCTCTTACATCCTTTCTGCCTCCTCTTCAGAGTCACCCTGAACTTTGGAGAGGTGACATTGATGTCATGCTGTATTTTGGACTGAGCACTTGTTCTCAGCGCTGTGACCAGTGATGAGTCTCTGCATTAACCTCTGCCTACTGCAAAGAGAAGCTTCTATGACCAAGGCTGAGAGCCTCACTAATCTAGGGGTATGAACATAGATTTAAAGACATTGTAACAACACTGGGTGGTGGCGGCACAAGCCTTTAATCTCAGTACTTGGGAGACAGAGGCTGGAAGATCTCTAAATTCAAGCCCAGCCTGGTCTACATAGTGAGTTCCAGGACAGCTAGAGCTATGCAATGAAACCCTGTCTTGAAAAACAAAACAAACAAAAAGTCATTGCAACATGCCTATTTAGCAAAGCAACAGTAATAGGTTCCTCCCTGGGACCTAGTACCTCTGCAGTCATGGGCTTTTGACTAGGTTTATAACACCAAGCATGAATTCCACCCTGAACTCACCCGATCTCCTCTGCCTCCACCTCTTAAGTCTCTTAAGTGTTAGAATTACAGGCCTGCCCCACCACAGCAGGTAATATCACTTTAAATTATAAAATTGAATTAGAGGCTGGGCAGTAGTGACTCACACCTTTAATCACAGCACTTGGGAGGCAGAGGCAGGAGGATCTCTATGAGCTTGAAGCCAGCCTGGTCTACAGAGTGAGTTCCATGACACACAGAGAAACTCTGTTTTGAAAAGCCAAAAAAAAAAAAAATTAGATTTACCATATACCAATAGAAGAAATGGGACATTTTATTTCATCCCCCTGCCTTCTTTATTTACTTCTGTTTTAAAGATGGGCCCTCTATAGTCCAACCTAGCCTGAAGCTAATAGCAGAAAAAGGGAAAGAGGAAGAGGAAAAGATGAGGAATAAGAAAAAAAAAAAGAAAAAAAAAAAAAAAGAGAAGGGAAGATGCCACAGTCCCTAGCTAAGGGATTGTGGCTGAAAAAACGATCCCCTCCCCCTGCCCGTTGCTATCATCCGCTATAGCAAGACACCACCAAAAGTCCCAGGCCTTGTCACAGACTCGCACCCTGAAGACACAGTGTATGGTGTCTGGCCACTTTGGTTTAATGGGTGAATCATGGAGAGGCTGTAGGGTTTCGGTTCCCACCTGGCTTTCACATTGGTTCTTTTCTAGGTCAATCCCAGTGGCAGAAGGAATGTATGAGGTGCTTTTCTCACTGCTGTGAATCAACTAACTGACAAGAAACAGAGTTAAGGAAGTAAGGGTTTATTTTGGCTCTCAGTTTGAGGTGACACCCCATCATAATGAATTCATGGGAGCAGGAACCTGGGGTAGCTGGTCACATTGCACCCACAGAATCCACAGGAAGTTCCGGTGCCGCACTCACTTCCTCCTTTTTCCCCTGGGACTCCATCCCATGGAATGGTGCCACCCATAGTTAAGGTGAGTCTTCCTCCCTCCCTCCCTCAATTAACCTAACCCCTCCTGGGCATCCCAGAAGTATGTCTCCTGTGTGATTCAAGACTCTGTCAAGCAGCAATCAATATAAACCATCACAGGAAGTGTACTCATTTTCTTGTTACTGTCACCAAATACACTATCAGAAGTGTCTTGAGGAGACAAGCGTTTATTCTGGCTTACAGTTCAAAGTAAGACAGTCGCCATGGGAGGAGGTGTGGCAGCAGGAATATAGCAATCCACAGTACTGGCCAGACAGCAGAGAAGGGAGCACTAATGCTCCCTTTATTTTCTCCTTTGCCCTTTTCATCCAGCCCACAGGCTGGTGCTGCCCACATTCAGGGTGGTTTTTCCCTCCTCAGTGGAAGATCTCCGGGAATACTCTCAAAGATACAACCAGAGGTGTGTCTCCTAGGCGATTCCAAATCCAGTCAAGTGCACAATGAAGAGTGATAGAAGAGGAGTCCTGTGTGGAGAGCTTCGATGCGCCTCGCCTTAAAGATGGCGCCGGTTTCCGCCTTCCACCATCCGGAGGGTGAGCGCTCTCTGGAATAAACAACTCCTTATTTGGCTTGGTCTAAGATTCAAACTTGCATCAGCAAATATGAGCCTATCCGCCTTAGCCACGTGGCGTTCTGGGGTTGGCTGGCAAGAGTGCTTTTAAGCTGTGGGCTGGCTTTCCCCGGGGTCAGAAGATTGTTTCAGTTTCCTGAGTAAACTGCTTAAGGAAGAGTCTCAGCGTTGCGTCTTCCTTGCTGGTCGAGGCAGTGGAGACAGTCCTGGAGCCCTCAGGAATACTGACAACATCTAACTCAAATTCACAGGAGTGGGGAATCCTGGAAATGCCTTCATGTGGAAGTGTGGAAGAATATGCATCTTCCAGCATGCTTGCTTTTTCTACATAAATTGAAACCTACTAAATACTTCTTCCATGCCATGTTTTTTTTCTCACTTCATGCCATAGCTTTCTACAGATCATTGTTTGTAAATATCAGATAGGTCTCACTTCTTGGAGTCAGGATCATATTCCTAGGATGAAGGCATCACAATTCATTTATTGCATTCTTCCTGAGAAATGTTTACTGATGTAGGTTCACTCTTTTGTTTGTTTGTTTGTTTTGTGTTTTTTTTTTCCAAGACAGGCTTTCTGTAGCTTTGGAGCCTGTCCTGGAACTCACTCTCTAAAACAGGCTGGCCTCAAAATCACAGAGATCCACCTGTCTCTGCCTCCCAAGTTCTGGGATGAAAGGAGTGCACCACCACTACCCGGCTTGCTTTGTGTTTTGGTTTTTTTTAAGATTTTTTAGATTTATTTATTATGTATACAGTGTTCTGTCTGCATGTATGCCTGCAGGCCAGAAAAGGCATACAGATCTCATTACAGGTGGTTGTGAGCCACCATATGGTTGCTGGGAATTGAACTCAGGATCTCTGGAAGAACAGCCAGAGCTCTTAACCTCTGAGCCATTTCTCCAGCCCCCCTTTTTAGAAGGTTTCATTTATTATATATACAACATTCTGCTTCCATGTTTATCGGCACACCAGAAGAGGGCACCAGATCTAATAACAGATGTTTGTGAGCCACCATGGGGTTGCTGGGAATTGAACTCAGGACCTCTGGAAGAGCAGTCAGTGCTCTTAACCTCTGAGCCATCTCTCCAACCCTGCTTTGTGTTGTTGTTTTTTTTTTTTTAATTAATTTTAGTGTTTTGTTTTGTTTTTGAGACAGGATCTTACTATGTAGCCCTGGTTGGTCTTGAACTCACTAAGCAGAAGAGACTGACTTCAAACTCACAAAGATCTGCCTGCCTCTGCCTCCCAAGTGCTGGAACTAAAAGCCTGCATTATTACACCCAGCTGATTTATTTTTTAAAATCATGTGGGTATAAATGTAGGTTTGTGTTAAGTGAGTGTAGTGCCCTCGGTGGCCAAAAGAGGGCATTCTAACCACTAGATTTGGAGTTTCAAGAAATTGGAGTGCCATCTGATGGAGAGCTGGGAATCAACCTCATACCTTCTTTAGAGCTCTATACTATCTTAAATGATGAGCTATTTTCCAGCCCTTGTTTGTGGTGGTTTTTGTTTGTTTTGGTTTTGGTTTTGGTTTGGCTTTTGGTTTTTCCCAGACAGGGTTTCTCTGTATTGCTTTGGAGTCTGTCCTGGAACTTGCTCTGTAGACCAGACTGGCTTCGAACTCACAGGGATCCGCCTGCCTCTACCTCCCGAGTGCTAGAATTAAAGGCATTCGTCCAGCTTGTTTGTGTTTTTGAAACAAGATTTTGCTGTGTGACCCAGGCTACATTGGAACACAAATCAGTCCTCCTACCTCAGTTTCTTGGGATTACAAATGTGTGTTACAATGCACAAATAAAATGAGTTTACATGGTGGAGGCACACACCACATGCAAATGACCAGCCTGAATGAGGACCTCTTCTACCTCTTAAAATTTGTTTATTTTTCTTTTATGAATATGGGTGTTTTGCCTGCATGTGTGTGCATCAGGTGCATACAGTGTCTTGGGATGCCAGAAATGGGAGTCTGATCGCCTAAAACTGAATTTATAGACAGCTATAGTCTGCCAAGTAGGTGCTGGGAATCAAACTCTGATCCTCTGAAAGTGCAGCCAGAGAATGCTGTCAACAGCTGAGCCTTTCTCTTCCACCTCTTGTCCCCCTTCCCACATGGAGACAATCATCTCTCCCAGGAACTGAGACATGATTGCCAATGAAGCACTTTAAAAACTAAATAGGCAAGGAAAGAAAGGTTCTGTGTGTGTACGCAAAAGGTTCTTCCTATTTTGTTTTTAATTAATGGGTATGCTAGTGCTCATGGTGCCAGAAGCAGAACCCAAAGAACAAGAGTTACCTATGGGACACTCAATATGGGTGCTGGGAACTGAATGAAGGTCTTTTAGAAGAGCAGCAAATGCTCTTGGCTGTTGGGCCATCACTTCAGCTGTTTGTTTTGTTTTTTTCTTTGTTAATACCCTGCAAAACCCACAGCAAAAAAAAAATGACCTTGGAAAAAGCCCTGGGACTGAATGTGTTGACTTGTCTTATACCATAGCTCTAAGGAGCAGTAGCTCTTGCAGAACGGTCCCCATGCATAGTTACATTTGACCAATTCATGACAAATTACATGAAGAAAAAGAGGGAATAAAAGGTCTGGTCTGGGCTGAGTGTGCCTAAAATCTTTTGAACTTATTAATAATTAACCTTTTGGGGGTGTTGACTCTCCTTGTTCCAAAAAATCACTGGTGTATAAAGCTGTTATTATTAGTTTTGTTTAAAAATGGAGTCTCATTGTATAGCTCTGGATGTCCTAGAATTTTCTATGTATACTAGGCTGGCCTCAAACTCACAGAGATCCTCTTGCCTCTGACTCTGCTGGAATTTAAGGCTTAAGCCACCAAAGCCCTGCTTTCCCTGACTTTTTGTTTTTTTGTTTTGTTTTCGAGACAGGGTTTCTCTGTGGCTTTGGAGGCTGTCCTGGAACTAGCTCTTGTAGACCAGGCTGGTCTTGAACTCACAGAGATCC